AAGGAGGGGTTGGTAATATGAATGAAAGGTGGAGATGAAGTGAAAGTGATCGGAAGCTGAATAAGTTATGTTCGCATTTAAATTATCATGAGGGAGGTATAAATTTACATATGAGTAAAGTGACGCATGTTAGGGCTTCCTCGTAGTCTGAGGCAATGGACGGCGAAGTCTTATTCTAACCTACCAACGAAGAAGAAGAGGAAAGGAAGGAGCATCGTAGAGGAGGACGGGTTGAGATCATGATAGAGAAAGATGAACCGACGCCGAGAGCTCGTGTGGGAGAGGATCTTTGTGCACTTTGATCACTCGATCCCGAGCGACTGAAGGAGAAGAAAGGGAGGAAGAATTTGCGGCTTTGTAAGAGTTATCGTACGATGAAGGAGGAGGTTGCGTCCCTATCACGTGCATAAGAGAGGAGGAGCAGTCGTGAGTCGCGTGGTTGAAGGGAGGGCTCCACCAAGAGGGTTTTAAGGGTAAGAGGTTATATTATATATTATATTTATAAGTTATTATTTAAATATTACTTAATTAATTCAGGTTCTTTAAAGATTAGGTTTTTAAATTTAATTGTGTTTTGTATAAATTATTAATAATAATTATTTTTCACAGTAATCAAACTTAAATTATATGTATTAAAATATTAAAATAGTGCAATACAATAATAATTGATAATTAAATTAAAATTTAGTTAAGTAAAGTAATAATTAATATTTTATAGATGATAATTTGATAGAAGAAATACAAGTTAAGAGAAAGCAGACCGTCCATCAACGAAGCGAGTATTCGTGTTCTTGTACTATGGTGATCTTTGGATTTTTCTAAACCAACTGCATTTGTTGGTATAATATTAGTTATATTGAAATTGCAGAAACTCATGATTTTGAATTCTATTAAATTTATGTTCATATTGTAGGAATAATATTTATGCATGTCATTATTGAATAATTTGACTGCTATGCAAATGATAAATGAATATTTTTTTGTTAGGAAGTGATATTTTTATTGGATGTTTGTATGTGCATGATTGACTATGATGGAGTCACCCTTGATGTTACTAGTGAGTGAACACTAATGTATCTGTGCACGTAAATGAGAAAAAAAATTGATATTGAAACAATTTTTAGACGCTGTTTCTGTGATAGTTGTATAGATATGAAATGATCTTGATACAAACTCTTTGAATAACATGTTAAATATTTATATTGATTTATAAAGAAGTTTAACCAATATGCCTGTTGTTTTTTTCCCTTGTATTGCTATAGTTTAGGAGTATTAATATTCTCCAACTTGTTTAGCTTATTATATTTTTAAACTAATTTTTCAGGTTAATTAAGCGATTAAAAATGAGAGATAAAAGAGAAAATGTTTATAGAAGATGCGATTAATCAGTAACAATGTAAATTAATTTTAATGTTTTAAGTTAATTTGATTAGTGACTCTTTCTTCTGTTAATAGTAAGTTATGGAAAATGAATAACGAAATTTTTAAATTCACACAGTCTGACTATTTGTACCTGCATTGGTAAATTCTAAGCTCCGGACCAGATCTTGAAATTTCGGGTGTTAGATATGTGAATACATAAGAATTTTGTGGTATATATATGTAAATTTCCCAAACTTTTAATATTCTTTATTTTCATTTATATTTTTTTAGAACATCCATATTCTTTTCTTCTTTTAGGACCCATTTATCATTGTATAATAAGTTTATGGGCTGTTAGGCTTTTAGGTTATGCTATTCCTTTACTAGCCCTATTAATTACTATTTAGACCTAATTTTGGTAAATGAGATGTTTCCCTTCCCTTGGATAATTCGGTTTTCACAGAATATTTCTCGAACTCATTGTGATGCGTTCCTTCTTTATGAGTTATTGAGTGCCATTTGAGACAATTGAATTTTGTTCTCTTAGCTACAATTACTTCTTCCAATCTCTACAAACATTCCTTCTTTGATTTTTAGTAGATTTCAGCCCACCATCCACCTCTTTGCATTTAAAATGATCTAAAGAATCAATATAAAACTTTCTTTATATCATCTACTCATAACAAACTAGAATGCGTTCCAAGAAATGTTGGCTTTCCTAAGCCCTAGAAAAAGTTGACTAACTAAAAAATACATATAATTAGAACTTTTTCCCCTTGAAAGTCATCGTCCAAGATTAGTGCCGTTTCTTCTGCAACTGTAGTTTTTTTCATTGCCGATAAAAGATACAGTAAAAACAAAAAGCTTTAGTGCAAATAATCTTTCTAGAAGAGGCTCAATAAAATGATAAATTTTAGATATGGAAATAGCCTTTTCAGCTTTTAAACATGATTATTAAGAAATAAACTCACTGTAAAATGATAAAAAATGCGCCAATATTTTATCTAACTTGATAAACAATGAATAAATGTTCAATGTACCAGTTGCCATTGTTTGATGATTTGTAAGCTTATTCTTTCTCTTAAGTGCTTTTATAAAATTGGTGACCGCTGTGAAGTTTTTTTTTTTTTTTGAATTTCTTTTTATAATTTCAAAGTCTTATAAGCTCATTCTATTCATTTAATGCTTTTATAAATTTGATGATCCCAATGCAATTCTAGATAATTTTTCTAGCATAGTTGATATGTTCTAGTTGTGATCCAAATATTTCACATTTTTTTATTATTTTGGCAAGAGAATCAAATTTTATTTTTTCATTCATTTCTTAAATTTTTTTCTATTTTAATCTCATCTGGCTGTTATGGAAGTTGGAAATATTGGAACTAAACAAGTACTGCTGGTAGCCCATGATTTGGTACCCATATAAAATGCTTATTAAAATTTATTGTTAAATTTTGAACTGTAAATTTAAGCAACAGTGATGTAGAGATTTGTGTTTGATTTTTCTTATGCTGTTATAAAATGTAAATTTGAAACTAATGCAATAACATCTAAATTTATAGAACGCAAGCTATTGATTCATTACTATCCTGCTTATCTTTGATGACATCAAAATATTCAGGCCAAAGATGTTTGGCCCACTAGAAATTATAACTATTAAATTGTAGATGACCAGTGTTTAGGATCCAACTCTATATTCCTATTTGCTATTTAGTAATGGTCAAATATATTTCATCTTATTTGTGAATAATATAATAAAATTAATGGAGAGGTTAATAGAACTTAGAACATTATTTTGGTTAAGAGAATCAATTTCTTTCATGCCATGGAGATCCAATATGGAAGCAATTTTTTGTTTAAATAATTAGTGAAAAAACACAGATGTTTAAGAAAGGATATTCATATGATCTTTTTATTTTTATTTTGTGAAGACATGATCGAGTATTATTAAATTGATTTGGTGCATATATAGAAGAGAAGTGTGTACATCAACTGTATGGTGAAGTTATTAAAGATACATCTAATGAAGCACAAACTAGTATTAATAGTATTTGTGGCTTGAACAAAAGCTTGCAATAACATTAGGGTTAGGTTAAGGTTCAACATTGAATATATATTTGTTTGCAATGGTTGTGGATAATTGTATATGTTAGAAATGATATTCAAATTGTCATGCCCTTGTTTATAATTTTCTTTTTATGAGATTGTTGTTACAAGTGAGACATATGTCCAAATTGAGAGTTAGAATAATATGAAAATATATTTAATAGATAAGAGCTTATGATTAATAAAACAATGATTCTATTATTACGTGCAAATTAATGTTTGCGATATTCCTAATTATCAATGAATGTTTTTAAAAAAATAAAATGACAACTTGGTGCAATAGGTATAAAAGTTTAAGCTTTAAGAAATTGCATGAAAACCTAAACATATATTTTCATGAAATTGCAATTTGGTTGACTCTAGATGTATTGAATCTGGTATTAAGCGATAGGTCATTGATAGCCATTTTAAGTGTGATTGAAATGAGACTGCTAGATGGTTGCGGGACAAAATTTAGAAGGATCAATTGAGAAATGAATATATTAGAGAAACTATGAGAATAACATCTATTGAAGATAAGATAGTTGAGAGCAAACGTTGATGGTTTGGACTTGTATAATGTAGGGTAGAACTTATAAGGTGAATAGATAATATTAGGGTTGAAGGGTTTGGTAGGAAAAAAGGTTGATTGATGGTAACATAGATGGAATTTTTGTTTGAGATTTTCATATAAGCGGTGCAACACCTTACAGCAATTAATAATAAAAAAGAGGATTCATGAAACCAACATCCCTTATCTTTATTTTATTTGATTGTTAAGAGTTATTACTCACCCTCGTGAAAAGTTTTTTTGGTCCCTAGCGGTCTTGTGCTTACCTCTTATGATTATGATATTTGATACACTGTTCTTTATTGCTGGTCATTTTTTGTCAATTATTACATGTCAAAGACTTCAAACTTGTAAACCAGATTACTTCTATCATGAATTTCAGAATCTAGTTTGCTTAGTCATCCATTGTGTTTCTTATTTCATTTTTCTTATTATTGCATTTATATTCTAGTATCGTATTTCTTGGCAGTTTTTATTGTGAGTTATGGAAGTATTCCCTTACAAAATTATTTGCAACTTTCAAAAATGCCTCAGAATTCTAGCCAAAGTTGAGTTAGATTAATTTTTTGAGGAGTGAAGCCTTGCATAAGATGGAAGTCAATACTGTCATTTTTATTAATCTTAGGCCACTAGGCAGACTATTGCATTGTTGCAGATTTAGAATTTTTGTATCAGTTACGAGGGCACATATTAAACTAAAATGATTTGGACCATTTCATTCTAATCTTCTAGTGTTGAAAAACAAGTTTGCTTTATGAGCATGCATGCCTGGAAGGGGTTAAATCTTCTGTAGCATGAAAGCGAGGAAGAAAACTGAAGGTTATATTTTTAGAACGGGAACGTTTACCAGCATGCATGTTGGCGTCAAATCGCAAATCTTTAATTTTTTGTAATATAAACCAAATGCTATTTATGCTTGAATGTTTTATTTTTGCGCTATACCCCCCTTAACATTATTTTTTCAATTGTAAATTTCTTGCAGCAACCATATACTAGCTCCTTACCAAGCAGTTTATTGGCACCCACTCTTCAACCCCTTAGAGATATTGATCTTCCTTTTTCATCTTTACTTGCATCCCAATCACTGTCCACAAAACACAGTGCAACAAACTCTATTAGTGGGCCGTCCAATTCCATTCATGAGGTAAATTTTCTCTCTTCACAACTGTTTTTTGCTTATGTTTGGTTTCATGATTTGATAGTACTGAACTTAGTTTCTTCAGCTTTTGATTTGATAGTCTGATTTTATATAGTGCTTGCTTCTCATATTACAATTTGAATTAATTTCTAAAAGTCATCCTTGTTTTTCTTTAATTATTTTTCTATTTGCTTGTTCTATATTTTACTTTCATTGAATGCTTGAGGATCACATTCTCTCGTGGCTATTTTGACAGCTTATTGATGCTAGACTGTGTGTGTGTCGATATATATGTATATATATATATATATATATATATATATATATAGAGAGAGAGAGAGAGAGAGAGAGAGAGAGAGAGAGAGAGAGAGAGAGAGAGAGAGTTGACTCGATGAACTAGGATGTAGATCAATTTTAACCTGGGTTCAAATCTGGCTTAAAAATTTATACAAAACAGGCTCAACTCCTCATGCAATATTCAATAGTCTCCTCATGCAATATTCAATAGTAATGGATGGAGGATTAGGCTATATAAAGATATAGCTGAGAATAGGATTTTTAGATATAGCTGAGAATAGGATTTTTGTTGCTATGACCCTTTCTTTTTGATCATGTACATGTTATACCAGCCACTATTGCTTTGATCCATCGAACTAAAACTTCATCTAAATGATAATTTTGTTGCCAGGTCTTCTGCTGCTACACAAGTTCTAATAATATCTGTTTCTATTTTTTTATCTCAGCATTCCTATCTCTACTTTGGATAATTCAGCACCATAGACCAAGCTCTTTTACTTTTATAGAAGTTCTAATGATATCTGTTTCTTTTCATGTCGTTAATGTCTTAACTTGAGTTTGGATGATACAGCAGAAGGCAAGCGTGTTCTCCAATCTCCAGCAAGTTCCTCAAAGCTCCTCCGGCTCTAATCTTCCTGCTGGCCATGCAATACCTCAACACCTTCATATCAATCCCTATTCTCAAGCAACGCTACCTTTAGGTCCATTTCCTAATGTGATTAGCTATCCATTCCTTCCTCAGAGCTACACTTACCTGCCTTCAGCTGCTTTCCCTCAAGCTTACACTACCAACGGTGCCTTCCATCAGTCTTCATCAGCCGTTCATAATGCTGGCTTAAAATATACACTCCCACAGTATAAAAGTAGCTTATCAATGACCAGCTTACCGCAGCCTGCTGCTGTGGCCTCCACATATGGAAATTACAATGGTTCTGCTAATATTCCTGGGAATTTTGTCTTGAATCCGTCAACTACCTCCACAAGCACGACACTAGGATTCGACGAAGCATTAAGTGCTCAGAAAGACGCGGCGCATTACCTCCACCTTCAGCAGGTAAATATTGTTTATCACGCACTTTAAATGTGTGGAGATTTATGTACATGCTACTTAATTCCTATGGATTTATATATATACACCTAAACTTTGCTATTTTCATTTATGGTGCCAACATCCTTTTTACATATAAAAATACCAGTATTTTGATTTTTAAAAGTGAAATATGCCTTTTCATGCATAGGTAAAGTGGCTATGTAAAAGTTGAAGTTCTGGCATTAGGTATACACAGGAAATGAATGGTATGTATGTAAATCTTCCATGAAGGGGGCATTTAAGTACATAGCATCCAATTCATATGTATTTACATATTTAATACTTAAACTTTCTATTTTACATTTTTAGACCACCTGCATCATATTACATAAAAAAGAACACTTTTTACTTCTAAAAAGTGAAATACACCTACAGGGGCATATATATAAAAATTGAAGTTTAGGCGTTATATATGTAAATACAGAATTGGGTGTCAATCTTTCATGACGGGGGCCATTTTGTACATACTACCCAATTTCTATATATTTACATATCTAGCACCTAGGCTCTGCTTTTTTACATTTATACCGCCCACATCTTTTATGTCACAATAAAAATACCACTATTTTGTCTTTTAAAAAGTGAAATGCACCTTTTCATGTATAGGTAAAGTGACATATTTATGAAAGTTAAAGTTTTGGCATTAGAGATGTAAATACACAGGAATTGAACAGCATGTATGTAAATCTTCAATGAAGGGAGAATTTACGGACATATCACCCAAATCCTTGTATTTACATCTCTAACACCTAACGTTCCATTTTTACTTTAATACCATCCACATCCTTTTTTATCACATCCAAATTATCACAGTTTTGTCTTAAAAAAAGTGAAATACACATTCTCATGCATAGGTAAAGTAACATATACGTAAAAATTGGACTGTATGTGCTAGATATGCAAATACACAACAATTGAGTGGTATGTTTTATTTAATGCCTTCTTTCGCCTGAACCTTGCTGCTGCTTGTCGCTAGAATGAGAGCTCACCAATGTGGGTCCATAACGGCAGTTCGAGAACTGTGTCGCCTCTTCCCCCCAATACATTCTTTGGCTTCCAAGGGCAGAGTCAGCTCAACAACTTCCGGCAGGCCCAGCAGCCCCCTCACTATGGAGCGATGGGCTATGTTAACTTATATCAGAATCATCAGCTAGGTGGTGGTCAGTCTCAGGAGCATCAACCGAATCCTGGTGAGCCCAACCTGAATGGTTCTCAGGGCAATCCCTCTCAGCCCTCTCACCAGATCTGGCAGCATGGTTACTGATGCAGATTGTTCCAAGTTTAAGCAGACTGTGCTTGAGAAGTTTGATGGCCTGTCAATGTGTGTTACGGTTTGATCATGCGAAGGCTCAGTAGAGTGTTTTAGTCTGATCAACTGTATATATACTTGAGTTATGTTGCAGGCTGTTATTGTTTGCCTCGAGCTTCATGTATTTTAGGCGTTGAGTGGTTCCTGGTTTGTAGTGTGTTGTGTGTGGGAGTAATTTAGAATGTTTTTGTTGGTGCGTTTTGAGTGAGACGTTTATATGGACTTTTGTTCTGTTGTCTTTAGTTTAAGTTAATCTAACCAGCTTCTGATTTCTAATTTCCTTGAAAAAATAAGGTAGAAGATGGTTCTGCTGAGTGCTTGATTCTATGGTTGCGTGGTTGATGTTGTGATTTCAAATCATCTGTTTAGAGTCGGTTTTGTCGAGGAATGAGGATTCCCTGTCTCTCTTTGGATCTCTGACACAACTGGTTATAAAAATTCAAATATCATACATTATAAGAAATAGATCCAAAAGTTTTCTTTGGATTATAATAATCAAGGACTATTTATTTGAAAATTTAAAAAGTTAAATGTAATACATAGTACAAAAAGTATTAGTTAAGAGCTGTACTAAAACATTCTTAAATTAATGTGGAAATTGAGGATTTGATATTGAATTGATAAAATTAAAGATTTACATAAATATGCATAGCGCAAAGAATTAATATTTATAATTAAGGAAAATAATGTTCTTTGGATTAATGAATGAACAAATAGATGATCATTTTTGAAAAGATCAATGACTATATATCGTGAAATAAATTTACACATAATAGCCCCTATAAAATTGTTGCAATCGTTTGTAAATTTTAAATTTTCTTAAAGCATGCACATGATATGCTCAAATTAGGGCCTCAAGCCACCCTCACGTGGCTAACTATTCGAGGACCGCTCTCACTACAAACAAACTGGCCAGAGAGAAATTTTAACCCGTGACCCAAGAGGATTTATGATCTTCAAAAAGATTGTTCTACTAACAGGCCATGACTAGCGACACAAACACACATAATTTAATGTTATTTGAATGACAACAAGGTTCATTCAATATAAAATTAGGTCTAACATGCTTATAGTAATACAAGTACTAAATGTCTCTTTGAAATGATTTAAATAAAAGTCAAGATCTTTAGTAATAATGCATTTCTGATGGAATCTCAAGCAACTTATTATTTTCTAGTGAATGGCTTCAAGACTGAGTTAGACAATTATAATGTTTGAGTTTAAATATTTTTTATGCAATTTGATGCTTGGGTGACTGCATTACATTTAAGATCAAGTTGATATTTTCAATCGTTCACTTATATGCACACGAGACTAGCTATTATTGCCAAATCTCCCATTGAGTGGGATTTGCCATCTTTAAAGTCTAATGACTTACTGAATCAAATACAATTTTTATACAAATTGATCTAGAAGAACTTTGATGTATGCCAACAGTGTGGCAAAAAGAATTCCTCATAAAAGATAGGATCGAAGCATCTAAAGAAATGATGGTTTGGGCACGATGATTGGATTATAGCTTCAATCTCTATGATTGATTCCGTTAACCCAATCTCTCAGAGACTAGATAACTTACAAGCAACAATCCTTGGAAGCCACCATGATAGGGCTAACTGTGGACTAAACCTCGATGTCAGGCGAACACGCGACCGATCATGGGTCTTGAATTTTGTGAACAAGGCTGATCAACAAAAAGCTTGATGAGGAACTATTTGATCGAACATGCAACCAATTAATGGAGTTGGGGAGACTCAAATGAGACCAAAGAGAAACATTCTTTGAAGTTCTCTACAACAGAGTGCCAAACTAGAGAATTTATGAAACCTAAATCCTTTTGAAATAATACATAGTCAAGATCAAGTTGCAAAATGTAGCTTTCACCAACTTATTTATGAAAGCGTGTCAAATCTCTGAAAGCATGATGCAACACTTCACCGCAACTGCATTGCCGCCCCAAACATAGTTTAAGTGCTGCATCATAGTTTTGAAAAACTGTATTTTACATATGTTCTAAAAAAACTGCAACTAAAAGCTGAGTTTTCTCACCAGGCCTTGCTATCTGCGGCAACTGTCAGAAAATTATAGTCAAATTTTTTTCAGAATTTTTTTTTAAATAATAATCATCATAATTTTTTAAAGTATTTTTTTCAATAGGTTGCATCTTACCCTTAATGTCAAGCTCACCCCTCACTTAACTCTAGTTTCGTCTTTCTCAGTCTTCAACTCGACATTCACTCCCTTTCAGGATGTCTTCAGTCTTCACGCTATTTCGGTGTATTATTTCAGACTTCCGACCCCACATTTTATCCCAATCTACAGAGGCACGGGAGTTCATGGAATGGACGGTCAGGATATGGTGCTGAGTGTCAAACTAGAGAATTTATGTAACATAAATCCTTTTGAAATAATACATAGTCAAGATCAAATTGCAAAATGTAGCTTTCACCAACTTATTTTTGAAAACGTGTCAAATCTCTGAAAGCATGATGCAACACTTCACCGCAACTGTATTGCCGCCCCAAACATAGTTTAAGTGCTGCACTATAGTTTTGAAAAACTGCATTTTACATATGTTCTCAAAAAACTGCAACTAAAAGCTGAGTTTTCTCACCAGACCTTGCTATTTGCGGCAACTGTCAGAAAATTATAGTCAATTTTTTTTCAGAATTTTTTTTAAAATAATAATCATCATAATTTTTTAAAGTATTTTTTCAATAGGTTGCATCTTACCCTTAATGTCAAGCTCACCCTCTCACTTAACTCTGGTTTCGTCTTTCTCAGTCTTCAACTCGACATTCACTCCCTTTCAGGATGTCTTCAGTCTTCACGCTATTTCGGTGTATTATTTCAGACTTTCGAGTTTCGACCCCACATTTTATCCCAATCTACAGAGGCACGGGAGTTCATGGAATGGACGGTCAGGATATGGTTTGCTGTCATCTTCCATCGACGACGACGGGAGTGTAAAAAGTTCAGTGAGCAAAAGCGTAGGGTAGGGAGCTGGAGGTGCACCTTTTTCTGGGCACTTTTTTGCGTACTACTGATGTAATATTTCTTCGAGATTCTAAGGCTGTGAGTGTAGCCGGGAGCGCAAAGCAACTACGTTTCCTATTCGCCTCGATTTCTACAAAGAGTTGACTGAAGCCTGCTCTTCTCGTTTATGATTCCATTCGATTCTTCTTTCTCGGTTCTGTTTCTGGGAGGAGCTGTGGTCAATGGCGACTCAGGCGTGCGCGCTTGTTCTCTGGTCAGGCTTCTACGAGTCGAGGCAGGGAAGGCTCACAGCTTGCATGCAACCCGTCTCTGCCAGACGAATGATTCAGGTTTATTGCAAGATGAGAAATCGGAATATTGGCAGGTCATTCTCTCTACCATTGCCCATGTTTTCTATTTTTCTGACGCAGGAGCACCATGAGGAGTATTGTTTTTTGGTTTTTGTAGTGGTCTCTTGATTGTTTTCTAGTGCTTTTTGTGGTTTAGTTTGTCTCAAAAAGTCCTCATTTCTACGCTCTGGAAATAGTTTCTGATCATTTTATGGTGAAAGGTCGAACGATTTTTACTGCTTTATTTTTTTTTTCAGCTTCTATTAGCTGGTGTTTTAAAACCATTAGGACGCAATAATGATAATAGAGGTTCAGTATTTTGGAGAGTTTTATAAAAAGAAGTGTTGATGTTGCTTATATTCAAGTCATTAAAGATATGCATACTAGTGCTGTTTCTTGTGTTTGAACACAAGAAGGATTAACCAAGTATATTTCAGTTGGATGACATCAGGGATCGGCTTTAAGCCCATATCTTGTTGCTTTAATTATAGATGTTATTACTTGACATTTACAATCGGATGTATTTTAATGTATGGTTTTTGCTAATGATATCCTTTTATGGATAAGACTGAGAGCTAGCGAAAGAACTCATAAAAAAACACGAATTATGGAGGTCAACTTTAGAGTTTAAGGGCTTTCATTTGAGTAGACCTAAAACTGAATATATGGAATGTAATTTTAGCAGCAGTAGATCTAATTGCAGGATTGTAATAATGGGTGATCTAATCATTAAAGGAGTGAACATTTTATATATCTCGAGTCTATTGTTTAAAGTGATGGTGAGGATGATGTTATTAATTGAATTCAAGTTGGATGGTTGAAGTGGTGGTTTGCATCGGGCCTGCTGTTGATAGAAAAGTATTGCTTAGACTAAAGGGAAAATTTTATAAGATGACGGTGAGACTTGTAATGCTTTATGGCGCAAAATGTTGACCTATAACTTATAGAGAATCACAAAAGTAAGTTAAATGTTGGCTGAGATGGAATTGCTCAGATGAATGAGTGACTTTGCACATAGAGACAACTTGCGAAACCACTGTATCCATGAATGGGTTGGAGTAGCTCCAGCGACTAACAAGATTAGAGATAGTTGCCTTGGATGCATTAAACATCGACTATCTAATGATCTTATTAAGGGAGTAGATGTTTTAGATTTGACTTAGGTTAAGAAAGTTAGACACAGAACTAAAAAGACATGGGCATGCTGTATAAAAAAATAATTTTAATTTATTAGAGTTAAATGAAAATATGATTCTCATTAGAACACTAGAGGAAAAAAGATTCATTTAGCCTACCCCATTTAGTCGTATAAAGGCTTGTTGTTGTTGTCTTTGCTGTACAATGCAATTAAGGGGCTTTTTAACCCTACCTTCTTGAGTCCAACCACTAAGCAAATGGGAAATATTATTTTTGTTTAGGTTGTTTTGGTGTTTGCTTGGTCAGATTTTTTGAATTCAACCAATGATATATTTGCGTTCAAGCATTTATCATGTTTTCCTCTTGCTTTACTGTTGGGTTCAAGGAATCATTTTGTGCTAAATTGAGTTTTTTTTTTTTTTTTTTTTGCGTATTTTACTTTTCTGTTTTATGCAAAAGCCTTTCTCATGGCAGATTCTGGATTCACATTTGGATACATACCTCCTAATTTCTATGTATTACATATCTAACACCTATACTTTAGTTTTTTCTTTTATACCACTGAAATCTTTCTTATCACATAAATAATACCACCATTTTCACTTTTAAAAAGTGAATCACACCTTTCTTGCATAGGTATTGTTGTATGCTTGTAAAAATTGAAGTTTAGGTGTTAGATATGTAAGTACAGAAGTAAAATTTCCTTTATAAACATAAAATTGCAGTGTGAATTATTACATAAAATAGTATAAATGATATAAGAAGATTTTCTTGCTATATCTTTGTAATTACTTTTCAAGGTGATAATGATAAATTTTTTGTCATAAGAACGGAACTTATGTTTATTTTCATGAATTGCTTTTGGTTTCTTAACTTTTATTTTTCGCTCTTGTATAATTTTAGTAAATTTAATATAGTATGTGATTGTGAGAAAATATTTAGAAAATAGATGATTGAATCAATTGAACAAAGATTGAATTATGACATGTAATTTTAGTGAGCTTGATTTTAACATTTATTATTCAACACTATTAGAAGATAAGGTGATAGCTCATTGTGATAGATTTAATTTTTTTTTATATATCATATAGCAGAATAGAGATAAATTTTTAGACTGTAGGCTGGATGATTAAAACAGACTAGTGTCTATGATGTAGAATGTGATAAAAGAATATACCATACTCTTAAAAGGCAAATTTTTTAAATATCAATTAGGCTGACCATTGAATGGAGCAAGCCTTGGGTAGAAAAAATGATTGAGGGTCAGAATGGAGCAAGCCTTGGGTAGAAAAAATGATTGAGTTGAGCTTGATAAACATGAGAATATATTAGATGAATGATTTGAGTGACATCTATTGAAGGTAAGCTAATTCAAAATATACTTAGGTGATTTGAACATCTAAACATATAGTATAAAATGTGTTCTTTAGACGGCTAGATAAAAATAATCTTAGATGATTGTAAGTTGTTAAAAATGATTTTCAAATAATATTTTTAATACCTCAAACAACACTCAATTTGAAATGAGTGGCAACTAAAGATTCATAATGTCAACCCCAAATTGTTATGATTAGTCTAATGATGATGAAGATGATAATCTGATTAGGACAGTCTCATGCTAAAAGCTGCTGTATCTTCTCAGAGTAAATTATTGATTTTAAATATTTTTGAATATTCGAAAACCATTTTTTTTCTACTCCTGTTCATGATGAAGCCTAAAGTTATTCTAAAAAAAACAGAATGATTTCCACAAAGAAAACACAAACTGTATGGAGCTTATTGGTGTCAAATTTGCTTTGTTTAGATTTATTCTTGCGAAGTGACTGCTAGTAATTTTTTTGTTGATGAGAAACATTTAACCAGGATGTGCATCATAGACTAATGGTTGTTTGCAATTCTCACTGTTCCTTTCATTAAACGAAGGCCAAAAGACGCTAAACTTGAAAGAAATTTAAACAATGCATCATTTTCCATCTGAAATGTTTGCTTGGCTAATGTCATATCTTGGATATCATTGTTGAAAGACTATTCTTTCATAAACTGTTCATTGTTGGACTTATTGCTTAATTTTGTTTCTAGTTTTCAGGAACTCTTACTTCAACTTTTTCATCCTTTTTTGACTTTAAATAATGGCGTGTTAATAGCTATGTAAAATTTTGTTTAACATCTACCATATTTTTGCATAAGTTATAACTACTTTCAAGGCATGTTTATTGGTGCCTTATTATTATTATTTTTTTACCACATTCCCATAACTCTATCTGAGTAAGTAGATCTATATGACTTAGCATGTATAATGGATGCCAAGAGATGGATAATTAGCCGGGCAACGATAGTGGAGATTGTGATAGGATTGGTTTTCTTAAATTTTTTAGAAGAGAAGGATTCCATGTAGTGGGAGAATTAAATAGACACCATCCACAACAAATTCAAAAGCCTAAACTCCAAGTGGGGTTTGATTGATATTGATTGTTTCATTTAAGGGGGAGTATTGTCACTGATTGATGTTCACAGATCTTGCTATCCATTGACCTACACTTGTTAAGGATATTTTCAAGATTGCTTCATCCACCTCATCAATCTTTTCCATTGCTTTTTTCTTTTTGGTGTATCATTAAATGTAATAAATATTTAAATTTTAGTATTTATGATACATCTTATTGGTTTTTCTTTTTAGTTTCTATAATTTTATTTATGAAATTATTTTTCATGTCTGTAAGTTATAGATTATCTTCTCTATTTATACCTAGCTTATACTCTAGAATCCTTGAAGAATTGAATCAATAACATCTTCAACATATTTCTACATAAAATTATTTATTCCTTTATCATCCATCTAAAATATAGCCAAGGGCCTCCGATGTGTAATAATAGCCATAAATTCTTAACCTTTCTAGTCCTACTAATATTAAAATAATGAGAAGCATATTCAAAATGGAAATGATCATTTTACCCTTGTGATGAAGTGTAAAAAATAAGGACAATCAATAGCAATTATTTTGTCGCAAATTAGTCTACCAATAAATGTAAACATTTTGCAGTTCATCAAAAGATTTATCAATAATAGCTTTCAAAGGAAAGTGAATGCACCTTAGACAACATATTGAAATTTTTAAATGAATTAAGAAAGTTGAGTTAACACCTCTTGTAATAGCTATCAAGTGAATGGATAACAAGCTTAGTAAAACCAACTCTAAATAGTTTGGATCGAGTAAAAATGATGATCGAATGTGACCCTAGTTAAATGAAAGCTTTGAAATTTTGGTCTGCAGGCTCCCATTAACCATTGGATGTATGATGGGTTGATTGTAAATATCCTGAATAGAGATGTTGTTTTGATGTTTTAAACCAATTACCTTTTAATTCTTTGTTTCTAATTCCAGTGAATGTTTTGTGTTGGATAAAATTCTCTTAGTACCTCTTGTGCAGCCCACATTCCTGAAAAATATCTTTGTAATTGCATACAATCAAATGAATGTTGCAAAGGATTATATTGCTAAATCACCTTAAAGATTTTAATTCTTAAACAATTCTCTTGCTAACAAGATTGATACCAGAGTTAACTGAACAAAAAGGGAAATGCAATTTTTATTATGAACAAATAGGGGTTACAACAAACACACCAACATAGGAAATAACAAAAAACAAAAAACGCAAACACCAACTACGGCTGGAGCCGAAGGTGGTGGGAAGGTTGCGGTAAGGTGGCTATGGTTGAAGGGATATGAGGTTGGGATGGGGAATGCGGTGGCAATGTATGCGAGGTGGTTGGTGACTAGAAATGACGAGGAGGGAGGTTGCATACTGGTAGTTGGAGTATGGGGCTGTGGCAGGGAAGGCCTGTGGAAGAAGGCAGGTGGTTGCTATATGGAGGCAGCTGCAGGGAGAACTGTTGCAGCAGGCTGGCGAGATGAGGCCTGGGGCTAAGATTGGGAAAAGGGGGTGGGGAAGACTGTAGGTGGGGTTCACGTATGGAAACCGTAGTAGGTAAGCTAGCAACAGGTAAGAAGGGTGCGGCTAGGGTGGGGATGATAGCGATATCCGAGGTTGGGAGGGGATTGCTAGAGATTGAGAGTCGTGGCTGGAAGGGGGAAACATGATAGATATCCTCGTGAGAGCAAGCTGCACTCGAAGCACCATTCGCCTCTTGAGAGACGATCACCACCTTGGAAGAGTTATTGTTAGAGCTTCTCACCTTTCGAATATACCCCTAGAACGGGAATTCTGGTTTTTGAAAACTGTCCTGAATAGGAACACGACAAAAACCTTCTAAATACACACAGAAGTGGCTCCTTCCTTTGGGCAATAAGAGTGCTTTCAGAACGTAGGAACGAATTAGTTCAACTTCTAACCACAATAGTTCAACGCCGGTCCTATGCTTCTACACCTGTGTTTCAGTCCAGCATATCCACACCTGTGTTTAGCTTGTTCACGCCCACATCTCGAGTTTCTACGCCCATGTTAGTCTCCCGGGATTGGGGAGCTTTGATTTCATTCATTGATGCTTCTTTTTACTGATAGCTCCTTCTGTTGCAAGTAGTGGAGCTTCAAGAAAATATCCTAGCGGTAGTGCAGGTGTAGGTACCATCGCTGCATCTTCTGTTTCATCTTCTTATAATAAGCGAGTCTTTCCCGTTCTCTATGTCTTTCTCTCTTTAGATTCTCCCACCACATAGAAGCATTCTTCTTCAGCTTGATAGCGGCGAGCTTCACTCTTCTATCATCGGGCTCCTTATTGCTTTCTAAGATCCGCTTCTCCACTCGAGGAAATCATCTGAATAAATTCTCTTCTTGAAGTCCGGTTGGTCCACCTTCATTTTCTGATCTCTATATTCTGCATCTCTGTATCTTCTAACTGACACTCCATCTCTGTATTTTCTAACAAACTTCTCATGTCCTCATCATCTAAAAAACGTCTCATCTCTGTATTCTCTAGCTAGCTCATATCTGTATCTTCCAATAAGCAATTCAGCTTTAGGCCTCTGCTGGTACTATACCCCAAAATGTTGTGGTCTGTCTTCTTCTCCACTGGAATTATCTTTACGAAAAGGATTCATGTGTTCTTCTTGCTCTCCCTCACGAATTTCACTATAACGGTCGATGTGATCCCACCCTAGGTTCTTTCCTCAATGACATCAAGCCAATATAGCACTTGGCGGAGTAACAATTGTATTTCATCCTATATGTATTCTTGATCAGATTTCGACAATTGTCTCTCTCGGGGCGTGGTTAGGATTTTGGGTGTAGGTATGTGGATCGAGGTGTGTTGGGTGGAGGGAAAAGAAAAATTGGGGTGTTGGGGGGGTCTGAGGGGATGCTGGAAACCATTGGATAGTACTAAGGTTGGGCTTGTTTTGAAACTAAATGATAACAGAGTTAACCGAAGAAGGAAATCTAACTTCTATTATGACCAAACAAATTGAGGTTACAACAAACACATCGAATTAAGAAATAACAAAAAACAAACAACATAACACACTAAGGCTGGAGTTGAAGGTGGTATGAAGGCTTCGATAAGCTGGCTAGGGTTGAGGTGATATGAGGTTGGAATGGGGAAGGCGACAACATGACATGCAAGATGGTTGGTAGTTTGAAACGACAAGGAGGGAGGCTGGAGGCTAGTGGGTGGAGTTATGGGGCTGTGGCATGGAAGGCGTGTGGAAGAAGGTTGGTGGTTGCTATATGGAGGATGTTGTAGGGAGAGCTGCGGGGGAAGGTTGACAGGATTGAGGCCTGGGACAGTTGCAAGGAAGAAGGGTGGGAAGGGGGTGGTGGCGGTGAAAGGCTGCGGGTGAGGCTGACGTACGGAAGCTATAGTACGGAATTTGGCAGCAAGGAAGAAGTGTCGTTGGGGTGGGCATGCTAGCGGTATAGGAGGTTGGAAGGGGATTGTTGGAGACAGAAAGTTGCGGCTGGATGGGGTAAACATGATAAATATTACCATTGGAGCAAGCTATCGTCGGAGCACCATTTGTCCCTTATGAGCTGGTCAACTCTCAGACGAGTTACAATCGGAGTGCGTTCTCGTCTTCGAATACAACCCTAGAATGGGAAACTGAACGCCTACGACTTTCTTGAATAGAAACACGAATAAAACCCCCTAAACAAACACAAACAACGTATAAATACTATTAGGAAACTAAGGAGTGATTCCTTCATTTGGGCGGTACTTTCAGAACCTAGGAACTGACTTGGCCAAATTCTAACCGCAAGAGCTCAATACCGGTCCATCAATTACTCGCCCGTGTCCCGGTCCAACATATCCACGCCCGTGTCCCTGGCTTCTGCACCTGCATCATAAATGGTCTGATTATACATTTCCTCGTTTTGCTTTGACAAAAAGGTTGTTTATTTTTTGAAACCGTGACCTGTCAAAACTGTAAACCGGTAAATTAATCTTCCAACCCCAGCACCACTTCAACAGAAAGATTGTTTCATTATTTGAGACTTTGGCCTCCTTTGTTTTTTTTTATTTTTTGAACATGTGACCCGTTTCGTTATCTGATACTTTGGCCTCATTGGTTATTTATTTTTTTGAACATGTGACCTTATAGTCATAATGGAGTAAATTAGGTTTGTGAAATCACATAAAAGAGCTTACCCATTATATGAGTCTGCTTCCAATTGTTGGAAAGTTTATTTTCATTTTAACAAGTGTTTTTGCAGTCTTTAATGTCCGAAGCTTAATCTTTGTACTCAAGCTTTCCCATGGATGAGAGATCATCTTCCTAAAATTATGTCACTATAGAATTCACATAGATTTCCATTTAAGCATTAGGATTCTCCCTTCCTACCTTTTTCTCTTCTTTCTTCTTTTCAAATGGGATAGCAAAGGCAATATCAACACTTTTGTGGCCTTTCATGTTGTTTATATAATTCTATCTCACTTTACTGGGTACTTGCTTGTACTGTTTGTGGTCACTATAAACAACATTTTAGCTGCTTTGGATCATCTATATATGGTGCTTCAGAAGAAAGTAAAAAGTGTCAATGGTCCTAGAACTATGGAGCTTGAATGCTAGATGTTCATCAGGAATATGGTTTTCTAAATTAACGCTGGTGTCATGTACGAAGATGTTATGTAAAGGAATATCTTCTCTTCGGTGATGTAAACGTTTTAAAATTTCAGTTTCAAATTTGAATTACTTCAATGAGCTCAAATTCTAACTTGCTTATAGAGAGCTGTTTGGTGTTGTGATTTTTTTTTTTTAAGCTCTCCCACAATAAAATTCCACTTTTTATTTTACATACTATCTTTTTTTGGTCATTATATTTTTGTAGTTCCCCTCATAAGAAGCATCAAAACAAAAAAGTATCCGAGAGCTTGCCATTGAATACAAATTTTGAATTCCAGAGTGATGAAAGCGTGGAAGTTAACAATACAAGTTCAAACGATCCTATGACTCCTTTTCAATATAAGCTTTCAGATGCTGATCCTATTGAAAATTTACCTACCATATCTGAGGGCAAAACATCTTCTACAGGTGATAAAATTATATTGGTAAGTTCCTTTTGTTATTATGGGGATATTTTTTTTATGATCAGTATTCTTGAGTGTAGATTTCATATATTTTGCTATTTTTAAGGGATTTAAAGATGCACTGCTGCAGTGTTTTGACATTGATAGATGAAGAGGGATGGGAGATAAATAATGAATATATTGAGAATGTAACTGCTATTGGAATTGTTGCTCAAAATTTTGTCCTAAGGGATAGGAAAGCATTCCCAATCGAAGTTTTTGTTATCCATCTCAAATTCAAATTGCAAGCAAAGTGTTGTTTTGTTTTATTTTTGAATGATTTACATACATACCACTCAATTCCTGTGTATTTACATATCTAACACCTAAACATGAATTTTAACACCTATGCATGAAGAGGTGCGTTTCACTTTTTAAAGTTAAAACAGCAGTATTTTTGCTGTGGTATGAAAGATTTGGGTGGTATAAATGTAAAAAATAAAGTTTAAGTGTTATATATGTAAATACATAAGATTTGGGTGGTATGTATATACATGCCCCTTTTTTAATATTTTCTTAATTTTTAGCAGCATCAACATCAAGAAAAATTCTTATTAAAGATTTATGTTAGTACTTGAATCGTGACTAAGGCTTCAATCTCGATCTTCCATATGTTATATATGTCGCATTGTGTAGATATAAAGTAAGTATTTTGGATTTTTTTGTTTTTTTTATCATCAAAGGAGTGATTAATGGTTAACATAATTTGAATATGTGCTAGAAAACTTGAAGTAGGTTTAAAAACTTGTGTAGCTATCAATAGAAATTCATGAAGAATTGATAAAGCTGACCCAAAATAATTTCATAAAGGCTGCTGGTGATGATGATTTCATCTCTACTTTAGTATTTTTTCTGTATAGCTGAAAATTGTCTGGTTATTTTGTGTAATTTGCATGATATCCAGCTATAATTGATTAGTAACCGGGGCACTTGGTTTTGTGTTCACGTGCTCATCGTCCTTAATATTTTCTTAAACATAGCTGGAGAATTTAACTTTGGTGTAAGATGAATTGACCTTTCAACAGTTAGAAAATGTTGATGGGAGACAGCGGCTTCCAATTGATCAACTCGAAGATTTGACTGGAATGATAAAACATGCCGAGAAAAGTAAGCTACATAAATTTGTGCTATTTAACTTATATTATTAGCGTTTTCTCTTATTGTATAATCTAGCAGGTATTAATCTGTTTCAACATTACTTCTTTAGATGTTCTACTTCTCAATCAAGCCCGAATTAGTGCACTTAAAGACCTAGACCGTATTCTTTCTGAGAAGGCGGCTTTGCAAGCTGAAATAAATGATCTAGAGTTGAAATTGCCAGAAGCTAAGGAAAGACTTAAAGTTACTACCCAGGAAAGGATGCATGTAGAGTTTCTTGAAGATGAGCTTGAGAGGCTGAAGAACAAGATGTATTCAAAGGATAAATTTGATGGTAAAGTGTTGACTTCAGACTCTTTTTCACAAGATGCCATCAATGTTACTTTTGCTGAGGAGCTTAATGCCTTGAGAATAGAGTATGCATCGTTGAAGGATGATATAAAAGCTTTGAATGAGAAGCTTAATCATGTTCCCGGAAAGGAAGAATGCATTTCAATGCTAGAGAAAGGACGGTCTTTGTTGGAGACTCCAGTTAGAGAGTTGAAATCTGAACTGGAAGTTTCCGAGATAGATATTTCAGTGCTTTCTTCTTTCAAAACTGAATTCGAAGCCCTATGGGATAAGGTGGAAAATTTGCAAGCTTTGCTTGATACTACAACTGCACGAGCTATGCAAGCTGCTACTCTTTTTGAACAAAATCTTGAGCTTCAAGCTAATGTTGATAAGCTTGAAGCATCTTTAGAAGAGTCAAATGCGCATAAATTACCAGAGAAGTCTCGACATTATAATGAACTTGTGCTGCAGAAAATTGAAATGTTGGAAGAACGTCTTCAAGCAGCAGACCAGGAAATTCATTCTCATACTCTATTGTACCAGAAAGCATTGGAAGAGTTTGAAAATTTAATTGAAGAGTTGAAAGAACGCAACACAAAAAAACTAGGAGAGAATGTAAATGATATGCCTTGGGAATTTTGGAGTCGTCTGTTGCTTATGGTTGATGGCTGGTTAATTGAGAAAAAAATATCCTTTAATGATGGAAAGTTGTTGAGGGAAATGGTGTGGAAGAAGGATCATCAAATTTGTGATGCATATTTAGCTTGCAATGGCAAAAATGAGCATGAAACTATTGTTACATTCCTCAAACTAACACAGCCTCAAACAAGGTAGTATGTTTAACATCTTTTGCAGAAGTTATTTCTTGATGCCATTGCATCAGATTATCTGATTTATTGTTTATTGTTGCTGCAAGCACAGTCAAGGATTGTATATTGTTCATATCGCAGCTGAGATGGCGCCAGTTGCGAAGGTAAGCTTATTTTGTTGCTTATAGTACATCGTGTAATCATTATGAGCAATGCAACAGGAATGAATTGATAAGAATAATTTTGGAGCCCATCCTAGATAATTCAGTCTAAGGATAGTCCTATGATAATGATGTTTCAACAAGATTTCTCTTGCCGTGAATTAAGGTTTATGTTGATATTGGGTTAAGTACATTAATAATTAGTACTATTATGTGATTCTCATTATTTAATTTTAATTATCCCTTACTTGATTATTAAATTTAGAGAATTACAATTTAATCCATAATTTATATATAAAAAAAAATAAATCATATCACTCATAAAAATGTATTTACTATAATAATTCTATTATTTTTAGATTATATATGCCAATCAAATTGTCAAATCATTTCAAATCATCAATTTACATTTTATTTATCTTTCCTTGATCCATAATCTAAATATTCCTTGATCCTTTTTACATTTTAATCGCGATTAAATGTTTTATAATTCATTCAATAAAAAAATAATGGCAAATAACCCAAACATAATAAAGTTTTGGTTTGCCCCCTTCTCCTTTACTTGAATGTAGACTCCCTTTTCCTCTCCTCTTCTGCTCAAACCTGCGCTAGTCACATGCAAGGCTCCTGTGCTCACCTCGGCTTGGTCGTCCCAATGTTTCCACATGCAAAGCCGCACACAGAGTCACTCCTCCTTGCTCATAGAGGTGCTTGACTAGATCTTGCCCTAATCATGATCGAATCAACCCCACATTTTGTCCTGCACACCGCGAAGCCCCTCACGTACGCTACCGGTGGTCACCGTCAATCAAACACGTCAAATACTGCGAACTATGTCGATTCCTTGCACGATGCTTACTAAAGTATCTCTTCCACTTCTTCTTCTTCTTCTCACTCACCGTCCCTTTTGTCTCATGCTCCCATCTCACTCTTGACTTCTTGTCAAATTCAAATGAGTCATTCGTTTCTTATAAAGGAAGTGTCGAGATGGTTATGCTCAAACTGTCACCTCTTTTTTAAAATTCCTCCTTTTTTTTTCAGTTATCGCATCATAAGTGTCATGACACTCAACTATTGTTGATTTTGGTACATGGACCATGCAAGGAAGGTTGTTTTGAGCATGGGTGCGGGAGATGATTACATGGTTAGGAGTTCGTGGAAGACCTAATCGTTGCATCATGAGATATGATTAGGGCTGTCAAAACGGCTCGTTGTTCATGAACAGCTCGTGTTAAGCTCGTTAAGAAGCTCGTGTTCGGCTCGTTAATTTCGCTTGATAAGTTAACTAGCCGAACATGAACTAAGATGTGTTCGTTCGTGTTCGGCTCGTTTTGGCTCGAAATACTACTCATCAAGTTTATAAAAAAAAAATCTAATTGACTACAAGGCTACAAAGACTTACAATCAATTAAAATATTGATTATAAAAATAGAATAAAATTTATTAAATTAGATTCAAATGATGTTCTAATATAAACAATAATTTTTAAATCTTGCTCAAACTCTTATTATTTTATGACTATATTATTAGGGTTGTTAAAAAGACTCTTTGTTCGTGAACAGCTCGTGTTCGACTCGTTAAGCAAACGAGCTGAACACGAACACAGTTTTTGAGCTCGAAATATTAATGAGCCGAACACGAGCTGAGTATGGCTCGCTCGTGTTCGGCTCGTTTACACCCCTAGATATGACAAATAGGTTTAGGTGTCATCAAAAATAGCTATTCAAGGCTTTGAATGTTTTGGCTTCTCTCCTCGAAAGACAATGGTTAGATGGTTGATGGGTGACATACGTCAATTTTTTACATCCTTTATGCTTTATTTTTGTCAAATTCTTTCTTTTATTTCATGATTTTATGCTTTTGGAATGTTGAATTTGTGTTTTGCAGGTTTCAGGAGGATTAACACACAAATTGGAGCAAACTAAGAGGCTTTGAGAACTTTCAGCCTGGTGTAGCCACACCAAGGAGGTAGCGTGATCACGCCAATTTGTTGGCGTGGTCAAGCTCTATCATGAGGGTTCACACAAATCATCCCCTTTCGACATAATCACCCCATTTATTGGGCGTGGTCACGCCCCCTTTGTTGAAGCCCCGCGCCCTTGCTCTCTAGGTGTAGCTACGCCAATAGACGGTGTGATCATATGCTTAACTCGAGAGAGTGGCGTAACCACTAATCGGGCATGGTCAAGCCTCATCTGCGTCAAATGAAATTTTTTTTTGAGCAAAATTCTAATGATCTTGGAAGGAATTCAAACAAAGGCCTTATAAAGGAGATCAGAGGAAGAATCATGAGAGCTTTTGGAGAGATTTCAGGGATGAAAGCTAGGGTTTAAAGAGAGTTCTTAGTCTCTTCTTCTGTTTTTTGCTGTTTTTCTTTGAGAGGTGAATTGAGAGATTTGTTTGGTTGCTTTTATAAGAGAAGTTTCACAAGATCTGTAAGTTCATCTTTATTTTGATAAAAATGTTTCTTGTAGGTTTGTTTTCAATGAGTTTGCATGTGTCTTTCCTCTCACAATATGAGTAGATAATTTTATTTTTTGTGCCTTTGCGATTTGTGGATGGTTTTTATGACTTTGCTTTTCGTTGCATCTTTCTCATAATATGTTTTCTGCGCTTTTCATGTTTATGTTGTTGGTTAACCTTCTGGTCTTCGTTTACTCCTAATCTGGCCAGTTAGGACATTAAAATTCATTGGGATCTACGTCTTCGACGGAAGCGTAGTGGAACGATTAAGTTAAACACAAGATCCAATTAGGATAAAAATATTTTAATACGGATCTCAGAATCAAGAAAAGAGGATCTGATAAATATTGGGGACGCCATAAAGATAAGAGAAACTTATCTTTGTGGGATTCCAATTCTTCTTTTGACCTAGACATAAGCTTAAGAAGAAATATCATCCTTGGTCGACAACAATCACGTAGGAGAAATTGCAAGAAAAGTAAAGTCAGACACCACATCTGAATTACAAAGGCATGATCTTCTACTGTCTTGGAGAAACATCAAAGTAATTTGAACATTGTTTTCCTTTGCTTCTGTTTTCTGCCAATTCTTATAGATTTATGATTTTTCTCTTTAGTTTTCTTAATCACGCTCAACTAGGTTAAACTAGCTAGTAAATTGTAGCTTCACCTTTTTAGATCTGTTTCTAAATGTATTTCCCAGTGGGAATGATACGCGGTACTCTTGTAAATCACTTATTACATTGACAAGCATACTTGTGTAAAGTGGCCGCTTGCTTTACGGCGATTTTGCGGCCATCAGTGGGTCAGATCTGATTGGATAGGTTAAGCCCTTTAAGTTATCTTTTCTTGTTTTACTTTTATTTTGTTTGTGTTGGATTACTTACAAAGATTTTATTTTTTGTATCTTTTAGTGCTAGTATTTTTTATTTTTGGTATTCAAGATTATTAGTATGTCATAATTATGATTTCTTCTTTCATTATGCAGAGTTATGATTGCTTTTATTGTTTTCCTAATGTTGGAGTTATCCCCCTCTATTTACCTTGTAATAATTTTATATGAAATTGAAGAGGAATAATAATTTTTTTTTATCCCAAAACTACGTAATATCAGAGATCGAAAATCACAAAAGAAATCGCCCAGAACCATACCCTTCCTGACCTCAACCTCATGATACTATTGATTTTAAAATTATATGGGAAGGTAGCAACGAGATTGTTGCGATTCGAGCTACCTGCTAAGTGACATTATTTGCTTGAGAAGGCAACGACGAATTGTTGTGATTAGAACTATCTGGGAGTCATCGACAAGATTGTGTTGTACAAAGATCGCCAAAACTCCCATCTAATCTCCTCATCTTGAAACCATTGAGGAAGGTAATTTCATGTCTTCATTTATGCTCGACGACGATCTTATCTCGATAAGTCACGACGACGTCTCCCGAAAGCATGGAAGAGATAAAGTTGACAGCTCTTGGTGCAGCTTCCTTACATTTTTGTTGTCAAGGGTTCTAGACCTACCACGACCTAGAGAATTTCAGCTCCTTGTCACCATTCTTTGATGTCAAACGCCGCTTCTCAGCGCGAGGCGTTTTTCTGATAGGAAATTTCACCACTTTTGATTTCTTTCCTCTCTCTTCCTATGATTTTTCGGCGGCAGGCTTCATCTTTGCTGATTTCTTATCGGTTTTCGTTGCCATGGGATTTGAGGGAAAGATGACTTCATCTTCTTTCCATTGTCCCTTTAGTTTTCACAGAGAAGGCTTTCGTTTCCAAGTGCCATGAACTGATAATTGAACTGGATCGGAAATGGGCCATCAAATACTCAATCGAGTTTAACCTGGGTATCGACTTCTTCTCTACTCAGCTTTGAGCACCGAACTAACTCACGATCAAAATTGACTCAATTTTTCGGGATTGTCCTCTTCTCTCTTTTGATGATGTCGCACAAGATAACGATTACTGGTGCCCAAAGATATTCTATCATTTCTTTTGTTTCTAGTGATTCCAAAACCAATTCGCTCTACCTATGGTTTTGCGAGCACTGTAGAAAATCATGACATATGAAAGAGATATGTTGGAAGCTTCATGGTAAACCCACATATTTAGAGAAAAAAATCTAAATGTTAAGGTCGAGCCTATCAAACCACTGCTAGTGAAACTCGAGTCTTCCATCAACTCAGATACAATACCTTTCACCAAGGAGCAATTAAATCACATACGCAAGTTGTTTTAATCTCCAAAATTGTAAACTACTCAATGTTTTTGGTCAATACATAAGTATAACTCTCTAGCAACTGCATTGTTAGGTGTTAACTCTAATTTTATTCTTTATTGTATAATTTGTTCCGGTGCAACTGATCATTTGACTGGTTTTTCTAAATTATTCTCATCATATAGGCCTTGTGCAGGCAATAAAAGGGTAAAAAATTATTGATGTTTTCTTCTAAAAAATTGTCGGAATAGAAATTGTCAAACTCACATCATTTTTAACCTTTCGTGATGGCTCTATGTTCCCAATTTATCTTGTAATCTATTGTTCATTAGCAAAATCACTTATGATTGTCGGTTTCAAGTTAATTTCTACTTTTTTTTGTTGTGAGTTTCAAGAATTGATAGCTTGGAGAATTATGATAGTGCTAAGGAAAAAGATGAGCTTTATTATTTTGATGATGTACTTGATGTGAATAGACAATATTAAAGTATTTATTTAAAATTTGGATTTATTTCTAAAGATCATAATATTATGTATGACATTATAGGTTTGGTCATCCTAGTCTTCAATATTTAAATTTTTTGTTTCATAGTTTATCTCAAAATAAAAATTTGTCAATTTTCAATGTGAAATATATTAGTTTCTCAAATATCATAGTGCGTTTTTCCTCCCCAAATTTATAAACTAACTACACTTTTTACTTCGATTTATAGTGATATCTAGGATTCTTATAAACATCTTACACACTTTGATTAAAGTAGTTTGTTAATGTTTCTTGATGATTAAACCATGTTCTGTTGAGTGTATTTAATGAAAGAAAAAATTGAAGTGCAAATAATTTTCGAAAATTTTTTATACCATGGTTTAAATACAATTTCAAAAAAATTATTCGAATATTACAAAGTGATAATGACAAAATATTTCAAAAATATTTTGGGATAATTTTTTTCCAAAAAAGAATTACTTCATCAAAACTCTTATGTCAACACCCGACAATAAAAAAGATATAGCTGAAAAAAAAAACTAAAAATTACTAGAAGTTGCTCGAGCATTGCTATTTACAAATTTGGTGCCAAAATATCTTTGAGGTGAGGCCATTCTCACTGCTACATTTCTCATTAATAGAACTCCCAATAATGTTTTGAGCTTTGAAACACCTTTTTTATATTTTTTAGAAAATTTACTGAACAAGTCGGTTTTCTTCTAATTTGCTTTTAAAGATATTTGTTTAAGATAACATGTATAATGAGTTCAATTGAAAAGCTAGTCAGTTATATGACAATATAATTCCCAATTGCATATATTAATGCTAAATAAAGAAAAGATCTTTGAGATTGTATACCATAAGAGAATAAATGTAACGCATCTACTATTTATCTAGTACCATTTGAAAGGTCTCTTTGTTATCTTATCAACACTAGTGGGTATGTATGAAAGTTCTAGTTAATCTGAAGCAGCCAAATTTCAAAATATGAACTCAAGTGAAACGACCTGTAAAATTACCTTTTTTTTTCCTGTTTAGAAATGACAATACTAAAAAATGTTACCTCTGAAAGGATGAATATTCTTTGTTTCCATGTATTCTTATTGAGTTATTTTTAAGGTTGGAGGTCTTGGAGATGTTGTATTAGGACTAAGCAAAGCACTACAAAGGAAGGGCCATCTTGTTGAAATTGTTCTTCCTAAATATGATTGTATGCAGTATGACCAGTTTGGAGAGATGAAGGTATATACCTTTATTTGCTGGATTTCCGTATTTTTATCTGTCAAACAATGGTATCTATTACTGGAACTTTAAGCTGTTACTCTTGCAGGCCTTAGATGTGGCAGTAGAATCTTTCTTTGATGGCCAGCTATTCAAAAATAAAATTTGGGTGGGGATTGTTGAAGGTTTGTTAACATGCTAGCAGCTCTGCTTAAATATATTTATCACCGAGGAAAATATTTTTTTTGATCAGCAGAATGGTAAAATGCAGGTCTTCCTGTCTATTTTATAGAGCCACATCATCCATTAAAATTCTTCTGGAGAGGGAAAATCTATGGAGAGCATGATGATTTTAAACGTTTTTCATTCTTCAGCCGAGCTGCACTAGAATTGATTTATCAGGCTGGGAAGAAACCTGATATTATCCACTGCCATGACTGGCAGACAGCTTTTGTAGTAATCTCCTAGTTTCACTTTGTTAGTGGTCGCTTCAAGCACCACTCTATTAGCTTTTTTTTTTCCCATTTGTACCATGATATGAACAAATTCTTACTTTCAGGCACCTCTTTATTGGGATATCTATGCAGCTAAAGGATTTAATTCTGCCCGAATCTGCTTTACATGTCACAACTTTGAATATCAAGGAACGGCACATTTTTCAGAGTTATCATCCTGCGGGCTAGACATTCAACGACTGAATAAACCTGATAGAATGCAAGATAATTCAGCTCCTGACAAAATTAATCCTCTTAAGGTAATTGAAAAAGTCTATATTTAGAGCACAAGTTTGTTCGTTAAAGCTAATCTACTGTTTATTCAGGGTGGAATTGTGTTCTCAAACATTGTTACAACAGTATCCCCCACTTATGCTCAAGAGGTGTGCGCTCCAGAGGTAAATGTTGATACAAGGAATCTATCCATAATTATTCACACAATACAAGTGTTGGTTTCTTAAGTTGTTATCATATTGTCTCCCTTCCCCTCCTATAAATTTTGTATTATGTGCTTAAATATTGTTCATCATTTCAGTTGTCTTGTCATACTTTTAACATTAGTGCTACATTACAATGATAATATTTAACATTTTTGATACGTTTCATATGGTTAATTTATTTACTCTGTCACGAATTGAACTTATTTTTCACATTTTTTTATTTGGAGTTTTTGTTAGAAATATTAAAATTGATTAATCAGGAAAGCAAAGAGCCACGGGTTATTGTGCTATATGAAAGGGAAAATTTTGCCACGAATTCATGTGTTTATCTTGAAAAGAGGAGTGCTATGGATTCACATGCTTAACTGGAAAGAGAAGTGCCACGGATTTTTGCCTTTTTTGCTTTCTTCCACCAGCCAAGTTAGGAAGTTTTGAACAGTAGTTTTAATTTTTAAATTATTTATCATTAGCGATTTCCAATTATTTTCTAGGTTGTTTTTCCTTTGAACACCCATTGGCGGATGGAACAAAGCACACTTAATAATCACTTCTTTCTTATAAAATATTAGAGTAAAATTAGGGTCGTCTTTCCAATTATAATTTTCTCCTCTTTCATTCTTCTTTGTTATGAAATATTATAGTAAAAATATGGTCGTCTTTTCAATTTTAATTTTTTTCTATATCATTCTTCTTTTCATCAGATATGTTTTATTTATTTTATTTTTTTTATAAGACCATCAAGATTGGTGAAAATCAAGCTAATTAAAGAAACTACTTGAAGTGCTCTTGGATTGTGAAGGAATTTCTTAAGGGAAAAATTCATCAAAGTTTGCACCTTGAGATGAAATAAATTTCATAATCATGTCATATTTATGGAACATCATAATTTTTTAAATTGGTGTATTGTATATGTTTCTAACAACCGCAAAAGATATTTGGGAAGTTGTCAAATTGACTTACTCAAAAGTTAAAAATGTTGTTCTCATCTATGAGCTCAGGATGGAGCCCTTAAAAACCAAACAATGTAATCTTTCAGTCATTGGATATTTTAATGTGATGAAATTTTATTGGTTAGAAATAGATTACTTTCAACATCTCAAGATGAAATGTAGTCATGATATTGTGGTGCTCAAATAATATGTAGAAAGTGAACAAATGTTTGATTTTCTTCGTGACTCAAAAATGAAAGACTTGTTAATATTCATATCTAGAGCATTACTAAGAGAATTTATCATTGTTAGATAAGGTCTTGTCGCTCATAAAAATCAAAGGAAGAAGGATGATGATGTTTGACACTCCCAACTCTCAAATATTGGTTATCACCACCACATTAATCCAATATAAGAGATTTTATTCACTAAATATTTTCCAATAAAAGGACAAGTTTTTCTCTAAAAGCAACCTGTGATGTAAAAAATAAAAATTTTGTGAACTCAGCATAAATCTGTTAAAAGGATATTGTGGAAACAAAAATGGTCAATCAAAAGGACAGATTATTAAACTAGAAGTGCTTAACACAGAAGAAATTGACAAACTAATTTATGATTTTGAAATCTTATTACGGAAATCAAATAAAAAACTACAACCAACATACAAAAATTTGAAATTGCAACAATTGACAACACAAACGCAAGCTAGAGAGTTGATCTACAGGTGGTGTGGTGGTGGTTGACAAGGGTGGAAAAGGCAGTTGGCATTGCTGACAACACAAACACAAACTCATGCAGATTAAAATTATGCTAGAAGTTCTAAAACTCAAATTAAATAGATTTATGAGGATATAGTGTGAAAATAATTTTTTCATTAGCATTGCTGACAATCTTGCACATGTAATCTAACTAAATATGTTGAGATGAATAGGAATTTCATAAAAGAGAAACTAGAAAATGGTTTAGTTTGTTCTTCGTGTTCCAATGGGAAGCCAACTCACCGATATATTAAATATCTCAAGCAATCTTGAAATTATAAATCTCTACATCCAGTTGGTGGGATAGTGTTGAAAGTGATAAGATTGCTATATGACGAGAAGAATATGTCACACCTTCATGTTCTTAATATGGAAAAAGGAATGCTGTAAATTTTTGTTCTTAATATGGAAATGAGAGTGCCATTGACTGCTCCTTCCCTCATTAACAAAGATACAAAGTTTTGAACATCAATTTACTATTAAATTCTCTATAATTAGTATATTTTTAATAATTTTCTGTGCATAAATACTAATTAAGGGAATGTACAAAAAGGTTTTCTAGCTGCTTCTTTTCTGTAGCTTTAACGTGTAAAATGCATATTTCTTCTGCCAAGTTCATCTGGGAGCAGTTAACCATTATAAATTTCAACCAATTCTTACCTTTGCCCTTTTAACTCCATGTTAAATCAACCGCATTATATTATTTTAACTAGGCTTTGCCTTCACCAACTGAACATCATTATATTTATAACATCCTTCAGTGCAATTTTGTTTCAAAATAATAAATGACAAAGCAAATTTATGCTAAGGTTCTTTGATTCCCTTCAATCATTCATCATTCCTCACAGCTAGCTTCCCTTCTCTTAGCCATTCTCTTGTTTCTGGTTTTCTCACTGCCATTCTCAATCCATCCTTCATTTCTCTCTCTACGAGTGTGCATGCTGCCAAAACCACAATATTCTCATTATGGGTTCTTGGCTGCAATATTGTATGTCTCCTGCTACTTAAATACTACTACCCCTTTCCCTCCTTTTCTCCATCCCTTCCATCATTCATCAGTACCCACCACTTCCGTTCTCTCACCCTCTTGTTTGTGATCCGCTGATTGCTATCCTCAATCTTTCATTCCTCACTCTATATTTGTGCATCTTGCAAAACTACACGTGTTCTTGACAAGTTTTTGGATAAAATATTTCGTGTTCCAGCGACTAGCAAACTCTCAGCTTATATTAGTAAATGCTATAAATAGTTATTCTATTCATTTTCTATGCGACCTTATTTCTGGTTTTGCATTTTTTTATTATGCTATGATTACTTTATATGATCATGGTTGACATTTCATGTAACCTACAAAACTGTAGTTTCTTTATGAAAAATTTAAATACGCAGCACACAATTCTTATGTTTTTACATATCTCACACCTAAACTAGAACACAATTCTTATGTATTTACATATCTCACACCCAAACTTTTATGTTTACATACATAGCATTTTGGTACTTTAATCCTATGAATGAAAATATGTATTTCACTTTTAAAAAGTGATAGTAGTGTTATTTTTGATGCGATGTTAAAAATTGAGTGTTATATGTGTAGATATGAATATGTAAATGTGCGCTATGTATGTAAATGCCCCTTTTTATTTTTGTTATGGAAATTAACAAATTTAATGGTTGTATTTTAGGAAGTTTGATTATAGGAATTCAGGTAAATATATTTTCTATATTTGGTAACATAATTAGAGGAGATCTAATTACGAGATTTTTTTTATTAGAGATGTTCTTAATCTATATAGATTACACTACAAAAATTCTGCTAATTTGCGTTGGACAAATCGAACGTAAATCTGACGATATTTAAGGATTACCGTTAGACTTGCGCAAATTTATTTTTGCTTTTTTTCGAGGTAATTCGGGGGTCAGTAATGTTAATTTCGTCACTTTTGCGTCGAAATATTTCAAAAAAAATGATTAGCGTCGATTTTTGCGTCGTCACAGCGTTGGACTTGTTTGGTTTGCACGTGCATTGAATTTTGCGTCTGAAAACATCTAACGATAAATAATATTGTTTAATTACCATAGGATTTTCGTCGGACCTAGTTCGATGGACAACATGTCGGATTATTGGATCGTCAATTAAGTGTCAAGCAGACTCCACTTAGATATTTTGAATTGCTAATTATATTAATCACAATGCAATCAACAAATGAGCCATGCTATCAATTAATTGGATTAAATCCAATTGAGACCATATAGATTCTAAAAGGGTTATGTTGGCTCATTTGGTAATACCTATGGCCAAAACAGGTTGAGTAAAGTTAAATAAAAAGATATCCTAGAATAGCTCGACGTTCTAGATCATAATATATCAACTTACCTCTCCTCACATAACCATTAGTAAAGACCAAAATTCAAGTACCATAAGTCAACATACCACAATAATCTACATGTAATTCAACTCTTCCTGTATGTATTTGATAAATTAATCTTGTATATCATCATCTTACTTTTAATTATTTTTAATTTTCTCTTGTAAAGAAGTATAACAATAAAATACAAATTGTCACGCCAGTGAATTTAAATTCAATGCATCAACAAACGTATTAACTTTATCAAGCTAAAACATAAAATTGAGATTATAATTTTTTATCAACTGCAACCTTCGATCTTTTTTTATGATCAATTCTATCAAAGTGAAGATTAATTTAAGTTCTAATGATCTGTATAAATCTCACATCTCATTTTATACAAATACTATCTCCAAAATTTCAATACAAATACAACATTTACCAACTCCAAATAAAAAAGTTAGGGTGATTTTCTTCATGCGACTTCAATTATCTCATAACATATGCAACAACTCCCCTATAATCCTAAAAGTCACAACTCAATCATCTCAAAGAAACATCATTGAGCACTTTAAAAACTTTAATATTAGATAGAATAGTTAATAAACTAAAATATCAAAAACTAAATAGCTACTTAAAATCAAATCTTAATTAAACTATGTTCAAGGTAATACTAAACCTAAAATCTACATTACTTGTAACCTAATCTTAAGCTAAAGCTAAAATATGCATAAATATATTCCAAATGTAAATCGTTAACAAAACTAATTAAATCCAAAATTGAATGACTCAAGCAGAAAAAAAAAACACTCAACCATCCATTCCTAGTTCAACCCTAAATCCTAATACCAACATTAATCTCACCCAAACTTGCTTTTATATAAAGTTAACACTCAATGCTTATGTATATATATAGCAAGATT